ACCAATATTTTATCAGTGTGTGTGTGTACACACACAGTACACATCCCATATACATCATATAAACTCTACTTTTCAGAGTGTTTTTCAGAAAAAAAAATCTCGGTGTGTGTCAAAGGACTTACAAATGGAATTCTTTTGGAGCAGAGAACAGCAACAGCTGTATCAACTGGCAATCATTGATTTTTGTTTGTACCAGGACAACATAAAAATCACATAGATTCCCCCAGTCTACAGCATTTAGAGATATTTCTTCCAGGCAAGTTCCAGCTTTCTGAGGGCTGGTGCAACTCCTATGCCTGTGTCACCTTCTTCAAATTTTTGAATGATTCACTCTAGAACTTATATGAGCAAGTAAGACTTGTGTGTTTGTAGGTACAAATTGGGCATGTTTAAACCAAATTCTGAGAAAACATTTTTCACTCAAGGTCCAGCCGCTGTTCATATTCACCTTCTAACTCTATCACACAGGCAAAAATCTTTGACCAAGCAGAAGGTTTGAGCCATACCCAGGAGAAAGCATGGCCTGATCTACTTCCTGGCATGGGCCCAAGGCAAACCACAGCCTGCTCTATGAATGTGCAGGGCTCCTTCATACAGCATACATAACCTGCGGTTCACAGCAGCTATGTCAGCTCTGGTGCCCTTCCAGAAATGGTTTGGAGGTTGAAGGCTGCAAGGAATGTAGTATTTATGTGTCACCTGAGCTTGGATCACCCTTGGACTGCACCATTCTGTGATAGATGTGTCCAGTGTCTGCTGATGGGAATGTGCAGTGCTGAGCCAGGGAATACACCAAGCTTTACCCTGTTGCCTAAGCCAAGACTTCAGAGTGCTTTGTAAAGGCCTGTTTCAGATGCCTCACTTCCTAAATCCAGCACAAGATGACAGCTTTGTAGAGCCAGTGAAATCAAGGAGGAGAAACAATCAACAACTTGCAAGCTGGGCCTTTTTAGTCAGACTTTTGGTAATGTATCTGTAAATTAGAATGGAGCCACTAGGCACCACTGTGGAACATGTCATCTGCCTCAACTTGCTGGGAATTAGACAGTTCACAGAGCAAATGTAAGCTATTAATATCCTGTATTCATAATGGCTACATTTCTTCACTTTTCTTGTACTACTGAAAAACCCTACAATAATCTCCAGTCCTAATTCTACCAGATCCCTTTCTTCTAGTTTACAATAATGTGATATTACAATAACCTCTGGAAGTCGGAGGCACTGACAGAATGCACTCCAGCACTGCATGTTCTACCATACCACAGCACAATAGGGCGCCATTACTGTGAACCAAGTCTGTTCAATCTTGTTATGTACTTCCAGAGCCAAATCCTGCTTGATTTACTCATGAAAAAATCCCATTGAATTCAGCGGGCATTTTGCCTGAGAGGGGAGCAGTGAAGAGCTCTCCCTTGTCTTTTTTTCAGGCATTTCCTTGAAAAGAGGTGTAAACATTCATGATGCTGAATTCTCACTGGGCAACACAGGTCCATGTATCTTCTCAGGAGAGCTCCCGTAACCCCTAGGAAAAATTAATCAGGTGACTAAGAAACTGTGGTTTCAGGTTTGGTTTTTTTTTGTTAATCCATTAAAGCAGAGCTTCAACCAAATGCTTCCTTTTATAAACTGTTTTGATTTTCAAGGTTTTTATTGACTTTAGATAAATACTACTAGTTGATTCTGAAAGCAGAGCATCTAAAAACAACAGAGAAACATTTTTTTTGTTCGCCCAAAAGCTGCAAGGTGCCAGGAAGTCATCCTGAAACAGCAGCATGTTTGTGCTACCGTCCTTCAGACCAGTTTCCTCTCTCCAGTTTATAATGAGATTTTAGTTCAAACAGGGCAAGTGATAGGTTGGGGGTGGGAGGTGGGAGGGAAATCAAAGCTTTTAAAAAGTGCTGGTAACCGAGGGATATTCAAACTGACCTGTTGAAAACTCAGGGTATTTTCACTTTCTGCTAATTGTTTAATCTAAAATGTTCACATGACTTGTTTGATCAGTTATTACAATCCTCATAAAATACAAATGAACCTATTAATGCACGAACTGTACCTAGATAATGATCCATCAGCCCTTCCTTTTGAACCCCAATATCTGACCTGATGAATGCACATTGATTTTGTATGACAGAATAATTTATCAGATTTCTGGCAGAGCTCCAGAGATGAAACTCTAGATTAGATTATGAACTTGACATACCTGAGTGAACAACTGATAACAATCCCTCAAGAACATTTGAATGTTTTCACACATGGGTTTCAGCAAAATTAGTCCTAAGATTATGTCTCTGATTCTTTCTCCCACCAGACTTAACATAAGGACTAAAATGGTCGATTTGAGACTTCACTACACTCTTTCCAGTTTATTTCTTCTGTGCTTTTACAATGATTTCCAAACCTTTGGTGCTTGCTGCTCACCCAAGAACCTAAACAGTAGCAGTCAGCCATAAATCTGTTTCTTTTCCCAATAGCCACAAGAGTTTAAAACCAGGAAATCCTCCTTCAAAGTTTTTAATGACTCTTTCAGAAGGTCGTCACCAGCTCTAGACATACTGCTGGTGATGCATTTTCCAATTCATGCTACCTAAGAAATTATGAGTGGCTGTTGCCGCTTAATTATCATCTCCACCACCTGCCAGACAAACCAGGATAAATTCTCCCGGAATGCATGTCTAAGGCACATGAAAAACAACAAGGTGCTTGGTGAAAGCCAGCATGGCTTCACTAGGGGGAAATCCTGCCTGACCAATTTGGTGTTCTTCCATGATGGGGCTACAGAACTGATGGACAAGGGTAGAGCAGTTGATGACATCTGCCTGGACTTGTGCAAAGTGTTCAACACTGACCCACACGACATCCTTGTCTCTAAATTGGAGATACATCAATTTGATGGATGGACCACTCGGTGGATAAAGAACTGGCTGGATGGCTGCAGGAAAAGTGTTGTGGTCAATGGCTCAATATCCAGCTGGAGACCAGTAACGAGTGGTGTCCCTCAGGGATCGGTGTTGGGATCGGTCTTGTTCAACATCTTTGTCGCTGACATGGACAGTGGGATTGAGTGCACCCTCAGCAAGTTTGCCAATGACACCAAGCTGTGTGGTTCATTTGATACACTGGAGGGAAGGAATGCCATCCAGAGGGACCTCAACACCCTTGTGAGGTGGGCTGATGCCAACCTCATGAAGTTTAACCATGATAAGTGCAAGGTCCTACACCTGGGTCAGAGCAATCCCAGGCACAGCTACAGGTTGGGCAAAGAAGAGATTCAAAGCAGCCCTGCGGAGAAAGACTTGGGGGTGTTGGTTGATGAGAAAATGAACAAGAGCCGCAGTGTGCGCTCACAGCCCAGAAAGCCAACCATATCCTAGGCTGCATCAAAAGGAGCGTGACCAGCAGGTCGAAGGAGGGGATCCTGCCCCTCTACTCTGCTCTGGTGAGACCTCACTTGGAGTATTGTGTGCAGTTCTGGTGTTCTCAACATAAAAAGGACATGGAACTGTTGGAACAAGTCCAGAGGAGGGCCACGGGGATGATCAGGGGACTGGAGCACCTCCCGTATGAAGGCAGGCTGAGAAAGTTGGGACTGTTCAGCCTGGAGAAGAGAAAGCTTTGTGGAGACCTCATAGCAGCCTTCCAGTATCTGAAAGGAGGCTACAAGGATGCTGGAGAGGGACACTTCAATTAGAGACTGTAGTGACAGGACAAGGGGTAATGGGTTAAAACTTACACAGGGGAAGTTTAGATTAGATATAAGGAAGAAGTTCTTTCCTGTTAGGGTGGTGAGGGAGTGGAATGGGTTGCCCAAGGAAGCTGTGAATTCTCCATCCCTGGCAGCGTTCAAAGCCAGGTTGGACAGAGCCTTGGGTGAGATGGTTTAGTGTGAGGTGTCCCTGCCCATGGCAGGGGGGCTGGAACTAGATGATCTTAAGGTCCTTTCCAACCGTAACTGCTCTATGATTCTAGATATATATTGGTTTCAAGGGGAGATTTTTCATCAGAGTTTTTCCTTAGGTTGTAGGTATGTGAGTCCACCCTTTCACTGGACTCAGTATCCTCCAGCTGGTTCTCTAGAGTGCTGTGACGCATGTACAGAGTCAGCAGGATTGCCCTGCTTGGAAAGTTAATGAATAAATTACATTCCTCCTCCCTGTTCATCTCTTCTGATGTTTGAGTGAATGGTTGCAGCAGTAATAATTACTTAACATGAACTTATATAAAGGAGGCATGTAGCATGACATTACACCAGCATGGTTATAAAGTGTCACAGTTTTATAGGAAATTACGTGCTAAAGATATTAGCAAACAAGAAAATAAGAGGATGGTGTCCTCTTCACTCAGATTGTTCAAATTAACTCCATGTCACTGAAATTCCACATATAACAGAATAGCAACTCACTAAGGTTTTTGTTGTTGGTTTGGATTTCATTTTTCTTAACTATGTGAGGGGGGAGATACTTACATCATAATCAGTGAGCAGGGTTTCAGGGATTTGCAAGAATATACAAGAAGTTCTTGGCATCCCATTTATTTAAGCTGCAGTTTTATTGTCTTTTAAAACTGAAGGTAGTAACTTTCATTACACGATTAAGAAAAACTGTACTTCTTATAACTTCTGGAAGACATGGAAAATTTCTCACTGTAGGTTGGATGAGCTTTTGAGAGGGATCTCAGGCATTGATCAGCATGGCCACCCCATGAGTTACCTTAAATTGTAAGAGGTCCAACTCCTGAATACATTTAGACTGACTAAAATACACTTGGCTGGCATGCATATTACATAGCCAATAGGGGATTAAGCTACTGAAGCATTCAAGAACACATATCCAACACAAAATGTAAGTGTTACCATAGGAGATGTTTTTTTTTTTGCTTACATTAGCCAACTAGGACAACAAGGTGTGCTGATACATGCATTAGCCCTTGCTATATTGCTCTGCGCTTGCAAGCATAACCTGGTGTTGCTGAATGGAAAAGATCAGCTATGGTGGAAAACAAACCTTGATTTTGCTGGATAGACACTCCCTCACAAGCCTTGCAGGGGAAGCACTATTTGCATCAGGACATTTCCATAACCATTTCTACAGCTGTGTATGATGCTGTTCTTGGTTCTAACTGGCTTAAACAGCTCACTGAAATCAGGGTGGAAAAGTAACTTTTCTTTCATTTTTTTAAATCATTGACAGTGGCAATGTAGCTGATGGTTGCGTATTGGTAAAGCTCTTAAATATGCTTTAGTTTAATACCACAACACCAGCTGTATGTACAGCTCTTCTGTTAAACAGTCAAGTAAATCCTAACCTGAGGTCAGTATACTTAATTTCCACGAGGGTGTATAACAATAAGTTCATCTTTTTTTTTTTCTTTTTTTTTTTCTTTTTTTTTCTTTAAACTGGTGAACTGTGACAGAGTTATTTTGCAACTTAACAAGTCTGCAAATTATTCTCATTTCCACTTTGTCATTACTCCTCACTGAGCTGATTTAACTAGTGTTAGGTATAAAACACTTTAGCAAGGCAAGGTTTGTATATTCACAAAGCTAGATTAATGCACAAGAGTAATTTCTGGCATTGGTTAAACATCTCTATCACTGAACTTCATGAAAGTAGGACTGATGAGTTCAACTATTAGGTGCTGAAGTGTAGAGCAAAAAGAGCCGATGTCTTTCATGTGATAACTGAAATAATTTCAATTCATTTCCTTCTTGGTTGGACAGAAACATGTTTTCAATAGTGAAGAAATCTTGAGGGAATCCATTGACCTAACCAGTCATATAACGCAAGAAGTTAATGGACAAAAATGATATTCATCTTCAGTTTATAATAGCATTTTCTTTTCACAGAATCCTAAACCATACAAAAGTGAAGTATATTATAAGAGCAACTGCTACTCTGGTAGATACATGACCTTTGTTTTACGTGACAATTATTGTGTTGGTGGAAAAACAAAATTAAAAAAAAAAACCCACAAATTTTTATGCTAAGATAATAAATTATAAATTATGAAAGTCTAAGGCACTAAGCAACTTGTAAGCAACAGTCCTGTCTCTTAGCAACAAGCCAGGGAAAGCAGCTTGTTGATACGAATAGAGCAGACAGGATTGTTTTGCAATGATTACCACCAAGGAACTAAGAACAACATTTTAACACCTGCCTCAGGGCACTTCTGCACCTAGCTATCCATCTCTCCAGTGGCCCACAAAGACTGGGCTGGATGCCAAGCGGCTTCTGAGTCCTGCCTCCTTACCAGAGCTGGCCCACTGCAACTAAAAGGACCCCAGGGGAAAGATCAAAGTGGGGGAGTTCAGGTGTGTTGCACACTTGTGCCTGCTTCTATTTCTTTAAATGCAATTTTACAAAAAATGAGTGATCATTAGTGTAAATGTTTATTTTTTTTCTCTCTCTTTGCACCTTTAGTGCTGTGTGTCTAATATGTAGTTAGCATTATGAATGAACGCAGACAAGTATTTGATATGAAGCCAACAATTGTTTTCTGTAGTTTCATTCTTAAATACCCAGTGTCAAAAGTTGGAGAAACAGTTCAATCAGAAGTATCTAGTTATTATTTCACCACTGTGCTGGTTTCAGAAACATACAAAGAAAATATTTCCAGAAATCAAGTGCAGCAGAATCAGTTTGTTGAGTCCCTGGACTAACATTAGAGGTGGCTCATTCATTCTCCCAGGTAGAACATTATGACAGTGAAGGGAAGGTGTCATAAAGGAAGGATAGTAAAAGTTAAGAAAAAAAGGTTGATGTGAAATCCAGGCAAACAAGACAAAAAATTTTAGGAGAGGAGCAAAAATGAAAGATGGGATGGAAAGGAAATAAAATGGTGTGAAGGTGAGAAGAGCAGGGAAACGAAACATAGAAATGGGACAGTGGAGAAAAAGAGAAAGAAAATAACAGGAAGACGCGCACAGCTTTGCTGTCGGTAGAAGCAATTTCCCTTACAGAAAAGAGTGCAGGGAGAACAGCTAAAGGGAGAATTTAATTGTGATCTGCTGGAAATCCATCACTGACTCATGAGACCTGGCAATTCTTCCAGTCCACTCTAAGCCCTAAGTGAGTTGGAGCACTGATCAAAGCCTACAGGCCAGCTTAGCCTATAACTCCATCTATCTCCACATTATACCTGGATTTATTAAGCAATGCAACTGTGCTAAGCATGTTTCTATCAATGTGGCTTTCCCAGTGCTGGCTGGAACGCACATGTATCAAATTTATCTGTATTTTTTTTTTTTTTTTTTTTTTTTTTTTACTCTGGACCAAACTGCCCTATATGTGCTAAGGAGTATTGGAGTTAGAATATATTTATTTAGCACAAGCCATTGGCTTGGAGGCCAGACTCTCATTGCAGAAAGACATGTTTTTAATATCTCTTTTTTTTTTAATTCCATATCCAGAGCAGACAGATTTAAACTAAATTTGCTAAATATAACTAGTGCTATTGCTGCATAGGCACATTAAACAAATGTATGGGTTGATCCACCTCAAGAAACTGTTTACTTTCCCTGATGCAAAATCCTGAAGGAATTGGTCATTGTGTCTTAGACACTGTTGAGGCTCACCAGGCAAAAGTGGGCTTTCTCCTTCACTTTTCTTTTGGGTGATTGAATATGAAGTCCAGCTCACTGCACATCCTTATGTGAGATAGTTTAACACAGTACCTCGAGGCTCTATGGTCCCAGAATGCAGTGCAGCTCACTGGCAGTAGTTCAGCTGAAGACTAAACATTTGGCTCAGTGACAGCAGAGCTGCCAAGAGTTGGCAACAAGAGACTCACAGGGAAGCAGCAGGCTGCTAAACCCTTTCACATTTTTAATTAGATCCACACACCCATGTCTTTGAGCTATCATAAATATACAGATGACATAGAGAGCATTATTTGGGGTAAGGAAAAAAAAAGGAAAGAACACTGTACTGTGGTATCTCTTACTTTATTAAAATTATTTACCTGCAGCTAGTCTTTGGAACTGAGGGGAGAAGAAAAAGGAGGTGTGACATTTAACTCAGATAAAACTCTCCCCCTGACTACAGTGTATTCACCCTGCGCATTGAAAATGCAGGGTCCTGAGATTATTGACACACCAATTTAGTTGCAACAGCATCGCCAGAAGAGGGCATTATTGGCAGTAACTCCGGTGTGTAATTTCCCAGAAGAGCTATACGTTCAAGCTCTAAGTATTCTTAAGTGTGTATCTTGCTATGATGTTGTTGTTTAAAACTATTTTTCCCCTTGTGCTGTTGTTACTATTTTCTAAGCACACCTTGATATAATCAAAACCCTTTTATTTGTTTTTTTATTAATTTATGGAAAGATATTTTCCGAGTTCAGTTCTTCCTGACTCTTCTTTCTTCCTGACTCTCCTGTTGTGCTTTCTCCTTCAAAGTAATGGTAAATCTTGGTTGGTAGTTTAATTAATTCTTTTTTCTTTTTTTTCCCTATTAACTATTACATCCTCTGCCACTCATCATTTTTTTCTCATCTGACACTGGTGAGACCTACAGCAATAAAGACATATAACAAACGCATTTTATATTGGCACTTGACATCCTGATATAGGGCAGTCCAATGCATAGGGTTCTGTCCAGGGACAGTGACACTTAAAGTATTGTCTCTTGTCTCCTTTGTTATACAGTCTAAACATTTTATTCAGAATAGAAACTGTAGCTGTATGATCAACCTGCAGCATAAAAACATGCATAAAGGATCTTTGCAACTGGCCCAGGAGGTTTTCTTCTTGCATTTCTCCTAAGTTTAAAGAAAATCTAATAAGGAAACAAAATCCTTGAAATGCTGCAGGGGGGAAAGGAATCACATGTTGTCCCGCCTGCAAGCACAAATTTTATAAATAGACACTACAACAAACATCAAAGAAATTGCTGTGCAGAGAAACCAACAGATCATGTATATTTTACATTTCCCATTTATTCCAAACTGTGTTAGCCGCACACTGCCAGTTAACTCTGAATGTGCAAACCTCAGTGTCTCCATTCTGGATATTTGGAAAATTGTTCGTGTCATCCTCGTTGTTTTGTTCTATATAAGTTAAACTTTGCTGTATCTAACTTCTCCTGGGTTTCTCCTCTGTACTTCACCACAAACTGAGGAGCATAGAGTAACCCAGCCCTTTTGTATGTCAGGTCCATGGTACACATTTCAACACACAGGATCCATGACCATTACCAGCAAAACTGCTCTAAACCTTCACGTCCCAGGAGCTTTTCATCTCCCTTATTATGGACATGCTCCACACCAAGGAAGTGAATGTATAGGAAATATCCCTTACGAATGGAAACAGGGGCAGTGCCTAAAGAGGAGGCTGGACCTTGGGCTATGCAGAAGCAGGTCTTCTTGAGGTAGTTCCCTCCTCAGAATATAGGGGAAATGTTCAGCTTTAACCTTTCTTGGGCTTGTCTTTTTTTTATTCCTCCTTAGGTCCAACAGAGTATTCCTGCAAAATGCCTGGATGCTCCACAGAGCAGCCAAAGGGACAGGAAGCATCCCAATGTCTTGCCAGAAATTCAGAGCCTCATTTGCTAAAAGGCATTTCATTGACAATTTTAACTGGAGGTGGACTGGGCTGCTGCAGACCTTTCACATTATAAATTCATAAGGTTGATAAGTAAGATATAAGTCAAGGCTGCTAAATCATTGTGTGAGGGTTTTTTTTTACATTCGTAAAATGTTTACAAAAATAAGACTGCTGTCTTGCTTTGTGCTGTCAGCATATAAGTGGAGGAATAAAGTTAAAAATATACAAATAAATATAAAAATATCTGATCCTCTCATCAGTGTTGCTGTTGTTAGCAATACAGTGCTCTTTTCAGGGGCAGATTCTACAAGAACTATTTATGTTGAAGTCAAAAAGAAAGGAAAAGCAAAAAAAGATTTTACAAAAAGATGATTAAAGAACCTGCTCAGCAAATTAACCCCAGTTTTTGACCAAACTACCATTTTGCCAGAAGCTCAAGAATTAATATTTCACAGGTACAGACGCAGAAATAACATCTGCTAATAATAGTACTAGTAATACTGTTTCTCATTATTAGCTACGGTATAAAACATAGTTTGCTTTGATAGTAAAACCATATTGTTAATATCTTCTGTGTGAGCTGTATCAGGATTAGGTAGGTGAGTTTCAATGTAATTAATACAAATGATCGGTTACATGTATCTTATCTTGAAGAAGACTTTTTAACAGAGGTTTATTCTTTAATGAAGTTTGGGCTTTAA